TAGGAGAGGATACGGAGACGAGAATTAGTAGGATGTTAGACGAAAATTTAGATGAGGGGAAAGCGGAAGCCTTGGATAAACTGTGGAAGGCTAGAAACAGGGAATTAAAAAAGAGAAAAGAGAAAGAGATAGAAATGAGGGATGACGAGGATATAGAGACAAATGTAAAATGACTGTGATGTAAAAGACTGTGATGAAAATGTAAATAATTGTAACTAGGTGTAAGGTTAAGTTAGGCTAAGGTATAGGTTAAGATATGGACGGATGATTGTGGTTAAAAACTAGTGTAAACCAAGTCCCTTCTTGGCATATGTAAAATGCTGAAGTAAATAAATATTCTATTCTATAAAAGTATTGCGAAATGACCGCTACTTCATTGAAAAGATCGGCGTGCATGAAAGATTCTATGAAACACAGCTGAATACATTAAATAATATCAACGGATGAGGACACCAAAAATAGACAGATATTAGCGAAAGATGGCTCCGAATATAGGAAACAAGAAATATTTAAAATTTTTGATATTCTTTGTTATATATGTTGTATGTGTGTTAAAGTGTTTATATTTGCCGTATTTTCGAGAAAGACTCGAATTGATCGGTTGACACGCGACGGATGATCATGCGTTTCTTTTGTAATAACGCTGGGCGTATTACAACATGATGTAAAGTTCGAAGAGACCGCCACCGCCAGCCCGACAGACAGAAATATAACAGTTATGTAAGAAAAAAGTTGGGTCACGTTAGTAAACCGCAAACATTGTACTTGAACCTGTTTATACGAAATAATTAAATAAAATTTTCTGAAATTAAATCATAAGGAAATAGTCTCTTGTTTTTTATAAGTTTGACTTATTTCCTACAATATTACTGCAAATGTTGCATATAATATTCAAATCGCAGAGATTTAACTCTTAGCTTTTAACTGTCGCAATATCATTAAATATAATATTATATTTGATTAGCTTTTTCCTGCTGCTTTATTTTATAAATTTAATATAAATAAATTTTTTATTACTTCCCATATCAATATTGATACTTTCATTTGCAGATTTTTATTAATTAATTTTTTAATTTTTACAAAAATCACAAAATAAACACGTTCTACCCATCTATGAAAGGTGTAACACTTATTATATCATTATTCATATATACAGGATGTCCCATTTTAAAAGTCCCGCTTTAAGATTTCTCAAAAACTATGACAGATACAAAAAAATGTTTCAAATAAAAGTTGGTTGACTTCAAGAGGGACATAAAATGGTACCATTGATTTGACCTTGGGTGGCACTGCCAAGATCAGGGAAAGATCACTTCAAATTTTTTGAATACCTTATCAATATCGTCTTCCCACTCATCACCAGGAACTTTGCCGCTCTTACTCTCATGTGTAATTGTGTGTGCCCGTCGCGGTTGCCTCGGTGCTCGTGGTTGCGGACTATAATTCGGGCTGGGATTCAGGCTAATGTTGGGACTTGGACCTTGGCTCAATGTTAAATCCTCCGTAAGGCCGGCATGCTGCCGACTCTGCGGTCTCGATTGTGGCAAGGATGTTGTTCCCGTGAATAATGTTAACGGTATAGTACATTTTGCAGCGTGTCTTCTCGCGGATGCCCTTCGGGAAGGACACTGTGTCGCCAAATCGTAAGCTACAATCAGATAAAAATTTTAACAAATAAAATAAGAAACAAAATAAGTTAATTTCTCTTCTTATTGTTACATGTGCATTCACATATCGATTGATTTATAAATATAATTTATTTTTCCCATATTTAGATATTTTTTGATTATATTAACAAGATAAAAACCATGCTATTAATCACTCTCAGAGAAATCTAAACATTCTAAATTTATTGTCAGTATATAAACACAATTAGAATGATTAAAACATTTATTAGTTTTTCTTTACTAATAAAAACAAAAAAATAAGAACAAACACTAATAAGAATCGATCATCAAATGTTTAAATAATTAAATAAAAATTAAAAAATAAAATAAAATAAAATAAATAAAATTAAAAAAACGCCAACACGGTTAAAGCAGATCTTAATGTTTAATAATATTTATATGTGAATCCAAATTTTCAATTCAAATAAACTTCAAGCTTCGAATATTTGTCTTAAACCACAGTGTTCTAAATTAAATCTGAAGTATATAATATCACAATTAAATTGACAAAGCAATTTAATAATTTAATACTATATAAGCACCTTTTTTACTCCTGTAAAATAATCTATTGCGAAAAATGTTATCTCAGCTAGGATTTGAACATGAATTTTCCTGCTATTGGACAGGTGTCCAATATCGTCTTACCGTTCGACTGTCGAGATATGTGGTAATATTTATCGCAATAATCAGTAAATTTATAAAAAATGTTTTTCATGACGTGTAGACAAATATTAATAGAAATCGACCGTGAAATATTCACACAATTAAGATAAAAAACATTAAAATCCAGCCAAAGCAGATTTTAGTGCTTAATAATATTCATGTTTGAACTGAAAATTTGGAAGATGTACATAAATATTATTAAGCCAAGATCTGCTTTGATCGTGTTGGCGTTTTTTCATCTTAATTGTTCAAATAAGAACAAATTTTCTTTCATAAATTTAATACAAGAAAAAATCAGTTTTTAAAAAGTAAAAAAATTGATATTATTTGCTAGCATTTCATTAATAAATGTTAATCATTTTTTTTTGTTAAAGATTAAATAGATTTTATCTAATCTTAATTATTCACTTCTTCAGAATATTAAAGTATATTAATATAATTAAACCACTAATATATTCATAAAAGAAGATAGAGAAAGAAAATATAACAGAAAACTTGTAAATTAATTATTAGAAAAAAATGCAAATAGCTTTCAAAATTAGGTAAAATTAATTCTAAATTGATTAAAAAAAATCATTTCTAAAATCGATCATGTACAGTCGAACCTCGAAAAATCGAAAATCATACGAATTTTTTCCTTTAAAAGCCATTATAAACGGAAAATTATAAACTCTCGTACAAAGCTTCCGCAAATCGAATGTTCATGTCAATTCTCTTTTACTCAAACTTTAATAAGTCGAAACTTCTATAACTCGAAGATTTTTATAGCTCCTCTTTTGAAATTCGAATTATCGAAGTTTAACTGTATTACAATATATAGCTATAAGTAAATATTGCATTAGAAGAGATATTAAAGATTAAAACAGATAACAAAAAAGTGTAAATATGACAATTATGATCAACAAAATAAATAAAAAAATTCAAAAATTATTTATAATAATTACATTCTAATTGAGCATCACAGAATCGATGGTACTCGTTCCTAGTTAGACGAAGGCCGCCAGTTTTTCGCCAAGGATTTGCAGATCCTTCATCATCATCTCTATGCTCATGATCTTTATGTCCATTTCGGATACTTTTTTGAGCAGCAAAATTGTAATCTTTAAACTGCCAGTAATTACAGGCTTCGTCTTCTTCCTCAAATCTTGTCTCAGCAAAATTCTCCTCGTTGTCATCATCATCATAATCATCATCATCATCTTCCGCATCCAACTGTGAAGAATAATACATATATAATATACATATTATACAGTGAAATATAACAAAATTTAACAAAATTTTACCAAATATAAAACTAAAAGTATGTTTCCAGCATGATTCTTTACTAGTTCTTCAACATTAAATAACGAAATAAATACAACCTTGGCTAAAAGTATTAGCGTCAACATTTTTTCAATCATCTGGAATTCTTTTACCTATAATTGTTTCTTATTGGCTACTAAGATTCTACACAAGTTTAAAAGGTTCTTGAAACAAGAGATAATTCACAGCAAATGTCAAATCAATTTTTAACCTAAAACATTAAAATTATTAATAGTTAATATTTTAATCTCGTGTGATAACTCGGCCAGGGCAGACGTGTTTCGCTGCAGTTCGAATATTGTGTTATCCAATTTTTTTAAAAGTTGAGAGAATTAGGCCGAGTAATATAAAAGAGACTAGAGAAAACAATATAAATTCGAGATTGAGAAAACTGAAATTGAGATAAAAAAAAGTGAAAATAAGGATTAAGGCATGAAGCCTCATCATATAAGAATCCTCGAGAAGAAGCTGAAGGAGCAAAATCACCGTCCGGTGACAATAGTGGCATAACACGTACCAACTCCTCCCTCTTCCATAATAATTAATAAGATGTTTAATGCTTTCGGCCAAGTTTTTTTTCTTTTTAAGAACATAATTAATTTTCTTTCCGACACATTAATTTATTCTAAAATGTTTAAAAATTAAAATGTTTTTTATTTTTATTGCTTTTTTCTAATTATAAAAGCATAGGCATATTCTTATAATTAGCAATAAAAAAGCAATAAAAAATTAAAAAATACAGATTTTAATTTTGCATATCCTTATTGTTAGAATAAGATAATCGTTATGATACTATGAATGAAGTATGCTGCAAATATGTATGCTGTTAATTTAGTTCTTTATGTTTCCATGGTACTGTTTATGCTTCTTCCGATTCTCTGATTTTTCCGTTGTCTTATGCCGTGCGTTTATTTTACGTATTGATTGAATTATGTAATGCATTACTAAATATATATTTAACAGTTAAAACGTTTACACTGTGTAAAATCTTATCACTTATAATTAATATTAAAATATTTTCACAAAATAATATAACTAAATTTTTTCATTTAAAACATAAAAAAATTTAACTTATTTAAAGTATTTAATATAATAATTGTAAATATTTCAAAAGAAATATTCAAATATGTTATATAAAAATGTGTTTCAAACAAAATTTGTAGAATACCAAATAAATTATAAAACAATAATATTTTAATCGGGAATGAAGACATGTTGATCACATTAATTTATTCTAAAATGTTTAAAAATTAAAATCTGTTTTTTATTTTTTCTAATTATAAAAGCAAAAACATATTCTTATAATTAGCAATACAAAAGCAATAAAAAAATAAAAAATACAGATTTTAATGTTGCATATCTTTATAATTAATATTAAAATAAAATATTTTCACAAAATAATGAAACTAAATTTTTTTCATTCAAAAGTTTTCCAAATATAAGCCAAAAATTGATGTAAAACATATAAACAATAGTAATTTGAACTATATAATATTTTATTTCCGCAATTAGCAAAATAAAAAGGTCTATTTTATAAAAATATTATCTCAATTGTTTAAAATATATTTTTTTAAATATAAGTCCGCCATAATAGATTTTAAAAACTATTTAAAAACTATTTAGAAATTTCAATTTTAAACCTACGTATTCTCTTTTAGTTATTTAATATTTATCATTTATTTCGACTCTCAAAGTTGCTATTTTTTATTTCACTAACATTTGAAATATTTTAAGCTAGTAAAAATCAGCACGATAATTATTATTGCGCAGTGTCTTTTAAAGAAATGAAAAACTGATATTTGTTATATACACTGTATATGTATATTATACAGGGTGTCCCATTTTAATTTCCCCAGGCAAATATCTGGAAAAATACGTAAGATACAAGAAATGTTTCAGACGAAAGTCTGTTGTAGGACATAAAGGGGAATAAATGATAAAATTTCACAAAAAAATCAATTTTTCAAAGCCACATAAAGGTCCCTCTACTTTTTTAAATGGAATGGTATGATGTTTTTTTTAATAATATGATTCCTCTAATTATTCTGAATGTAAAAGTATTAGGTAAAGTTATTGAAAAATCAATACTTTAAGAGATATTTAATACTTTTCTCATGCCATATTTCGACATAAAAATAAGACAAATCAATTAGTATAAAGAAAACACAGTTGCTTTGCAAAAAAATATGTAAAATATGTAAAACACGATGATTGTTCCATATATACCGTACAAATTTATATTTTCAATGTGGTAGATATTATCAAAGTACCTTGAAGAAACTAATTTTTATTATGCAGTAGAATGATCGGAATTATTTAAATAAGGCATAATTTTTTCTGCATTTAATATTTAATATTTTTTCTGCCGACAGTTTTATATGTTGGAATCTGGAACATATGTTCCGATAAGGGACTCCAAAAAATGATCAGTATTGTCCTTTATATATAAACGATAAAAATGTTCGCAAGCTGTGCGTGCGTGCGTGTTTTGTCAGTGTAAAACGGATGCTCGAACTGTGAGCTGTTGTGCGCACATCGCATCTGTTTCGTGGTACTTGTTACTGTAGACATTTGGAAACAAAACCTCAATATCACAGTGGTGCTTTTCCAGAATACAAAATGGTAAGCATCAAATGCAGAGAGAATTATACTTTCTTAGAAATGATTCCGATCATTCTGCAACATAACAAAAATTAGTTTTTTCAAGGTACTTTGACAATACCAGCCACATTGAAATTATGAATTTCTGCGATATGTACGGCACAGACACCGTGCAATCATATCATTTTCAACTCAAAACACTTGAGATCAGATTAATCTATTTTGAGAGATACATTTTGACGAGACGCATCAAATATCAACTCTCCTTTCCATATTTGGACCTTGTGTCGCAATATCTCGGCTCGTAGACCACGTAGAAGGAAAATGCAAACACTTTTATTGTACAATTCAAACCTAAATTATCAATTGAACCTTACTACTTAGAAATTGAAATCGGTTCAAGCGTTATTAAGCTCCCATAATCTCGGGTGCTCGCAACTTGCCGTGAAGGAACACGATCCGGTCTGGCGCGTTCTTTTTAGCACCGAGACATAACCGTGTCATCTGATATTTGCTTGGAAAAATTAAAATAAGACACCCTGGATATTTTAAGGGAGGAGTCTGGTGTAGCACGAAAAATTAGGTGATTTTTTGGAATTTTTTTTAGGAAATTATACAACCAATCCTTTTAAACTTTATAGGATAATTTCTTATACTATTGAAAAAAAAATTTTTTGCAAAAAAAAAAATTTATTACGCAATAATAATAACTTTTTATTCGACGTGTCGGTGATAGTGTTTGGCGGCGTGTAATGTAGCGTCGCATGTATTTTTCTGAATTAAAAAATCCAAAAAGATTATTGTTTATTAAGAGTTTACGCATTGAACTTATTTTTAACCTTCAAATAGTACAAGAGTGCGAATTCGCATCGCAAAAATTTTTGAATTGCTGGCATTTGCACAGAGACATTTGTCGCGGCTTAACTCCACTACGTTAAATATGCCCGGTACCTCAGGGTTCTCAGATGACAGGTACGAACATGCACAGCTTCAGTTTCGTGCAGATTAACGACATATTAACTTCGCTGTGGTGCATATTCGCACTTGTATTCAAATGTGTGCCGGATAGGTGCCTTTTAGCGTTTTACACATTTATAAACATTGTAATAGGTTTCTGTTTTTACATTACGTCATAAACATTGTAATATATTCTCTTTTTTTACATTCTAATAACAAATCAAACATTTTGTATGTATATAAATCTTATTCCATCTGTTTTCTCTGTCTTAACTTCCATGATAATATGAACAATACTTTTTAATAATAAATAAATTACCAGCTCGTTATATATAAACAATAAAAAAGACAGGATAATAGGCCAAAGACGAGCATAAAACAAAAAATGTCAATTAATAAAAATTCTTTAATAAGTCATTTAAATAAATTAAAATTAAAAACAACGCGAGACTAGTTTCGGCTTACTTAGCCTTTAGATCGGAAGAGCACACGTCTGAA